TGGGGTGCTGCTGGTATGTACTGGTAAGAAGAACGAACTAGCTCTTTCCATACAAACTTTGACCATTGCGGTACGATTACTTTCACGCTAGTTGTTCGTGCTTGGGGTACAGAACCTTTTGGTGGAATACCACCGAGTAGGCATTTCTAGACCGTATACCGTTTTACCATTTTTTATTGTTGGGAAAATGCGTGACGTATACCCCGGCCCTAGGTGAGAGACGAGGTTATGTGGTACTCCTCCTTCCTCCAAATTCGGTACATTCTCTCAGCCAGCCTTTCGGATTGACTCAGCGGCTGCCCTGGATGAGGGGCGCGCTACACTCACTAAAACCCAAAAGTGCTTCCTCGGATGCCACAGTGGTTTTCGTGGGATCAGAAGACTCTCCAAGTTATCCCTAAGAGGAATTAGTCCTCCCCTTTGCGATCAGGGGGATCCCTGGAAGCACCTGAGCATCCTCCCTCGACGGGTGAGATGAGGTGAGGTGTGCAATGCAGATGACAGACCACCCTGTCTGCCACCCGCTAATCTCACTAGGGTGGAAAGAGATGCGCATAATAACACCGCATCCTTCGACTCTGCCGTCGGCGTCGGAGAAGACCAGCTTGGAGGTCACCCTCGCGGACCCTCTGCGCTGATTTCCAGGCACTCCTCAAGAGAGTTCTGCGCCTTATTGTCGACAGCGCCACCATGATGGCACGATGGGGTCGCTACCCTCCGTATGCGATGCAGATAATTGCCGGAGCACCCATGCCCCAACACCTGCACCAGACGGTAGGTCAGCGACCCATGCCTCCTCTCCCTTCATTAGCAGAGTACTGGGCGCAGGGCCTCTATGGTCCTGGTCCCATTCTCCTACGACTCCATCTCCCTGTCCCACTCCTCCAGGACGAGTTCCTTCACGCGTCGCCTATAGGCGAGGATCTCTTCTGGAGCAAGTTGTTTCCCTCTTTGTCGGGTTTCTGCCCTTTTTCAATAGAGACGTGACAGGGTCTTTGCTTCCAGCATCCACGGGAGGAATCCCGTTATTGCGCAGGAGGCCGCAAGTGATGTGGTGCAGTAGGTTCGCGTGTCCTTTGCGCTTTATCGGCCCAGATTGGCCTGCTGACCCTAAGGTCAGCTGTTTGAAATGGTTGGTCAAACCGCCATATGGAGTCCAGCACCAGCCCCAGGTACTTCACGTTCGACTCAATGGGCAGCCTTGTCCCCTTCGCCTTAACGTATTCTCCGGCCGGTAGCTTGCCCCTACAGCTATACATATGTTACGTGTCGGGATGGGGTTCGAAACTATAGGCCAGTTCATGCTTGACAATTCTTTATTTACCACACAGTTCACACAATTAACACACAATGTTTTTCACAATATACTCACTTAACACTGTACTTTACTATACAAGTCTTTAAATAATCTCACTTGAACTTTGCACTTTGATAGCCTTTGTATTCGTTCCGAAATCGCCGTTGAAATTCAACTGACTCTGCGCGGCGATGATCGCGCTCATATACGCTAATCGACGAATTCTGGATAGATAGATTGTAAACAAGTATAGATGTCATTACAATTTCACCCTTACCTCTTACTGCATAAGGCTCAATTTAGAATGAGTAGCACCACTCGAACTTTATCGCGATATGTGATGTTCTGGTAAATTCTGTCTCTAGTATTTTTGCGGTTTTGTTTCGAGAGTATTAGTAACGGAAGATTATAGCTCTATAGCTATTAACGGTATTGTGACCATGTACCTTGTTTTTCTGAGTCTCCGATATTTCGGCACTGTTGCAAGCGCCATGATCTAGCTCTAGTCCTCTGCGCCACCCTTATGCCGAGCTTTGCGATCCGCCTCGTTACCAGTGACGCACTCGCTACCCCGAGACGGCGGATGTCCTCATATGTCTTACCCCGTACAGACATGAGTGTCATCTGCTAAGCATATGACGGTTGTTCGGGACAAGGGCGCCCCTCTTAGGACATGAGGCTTATGCGAGATTCCTCAGAAGCGGTCCCAGTACTGACCCCTATGTAACTCCGCACATCATTCGCCTCTTATTTTTTTTATTCACCGAGATTCATGGTTGACCTTGTATTACAGTATGTATGTATGAGCGCTGGGTGCTCTCCATTTGGATTGGAACCATAGAAACGGAGATAATTGCAAAAAAACGATTTTCGTGACCTTTCACCTCGAATAACTTACGACGCAGACACAAGATACTATAAGACTTTTGAGACAACTTTAAGAACGCCAAAATAAAGCTGAACAAGAGTTTCCAGCTTATTACCTCAAATTCCGAGGTGAAACCCTAAAGTGACTGGACTATTAAAAAAATTGACGAATCAATCTTCCAGGAAAAAATAATTTGATTCATTCGTGAATACAAATGTCATAAAAGATTCAAATCTAATAACTGAATATATATTGAATTACCCGAATTACGAAGTCATTTTATCAAGTTTCCAAAACAGGGTTTCTGGTGAAAGTGTTAACTTTTATGGCGAAAATTAAGGAAGCACGTCACGAACTTTCTCCAGGCTTTGCGAGAATTCCTTCAATCTATTGTCATTGTCATGTTCACTTTGAAGGAACCATGAGAATTAGTATCATATATAACTACTAGCTGACCCAGCGAACTTCGTACCGCCCTAAAAAAATAGTTGTTGTCCAGCGGACAAAATTGTGAATCTAAACCATTCTCAGATCCCCTTGAACACACACAAAAAATTTCATCAAAATCGGTCCAGTCGTTTAAGAGAAGTTCAGTGACATACACACTCACAGAAGAATTATATATATAAAGATAAAGTACATATTTTGTGCGCATATATATATATATATATAAGTACAGGGCGTCCCACGGCTACCTCACATGGAGGGAAACTATATTAAATATTGAAGATAGGATATTTTAATGAAAGAACACATCGCTTTATTTTTAATAATAATAAGAACTGCATTCACAGATTTTTTAAAAATCGCCTGCTACAACTGGGAATCAAACTCGTGAAATAACGAAAAAAAAATACGACATGTTTTAAGATAAACATAGAAATGGTTTATCGTGAGGATTATTTTTTGCTAAATAACATAGCATTTTAAATGAAAGAAAAGTAATTTAATTTAACATTTTATTTAACTCACACTACTCTAAAATCGGATACGCCTCAAAGTAAATTAAAATGTTGAGTTCATCATCGTTGCCGTTTATCATCCGCTGCTGTGGTTTCTGTAGCGCATATCAAAACGTCCTAAATTTCTTAACGTATCCACTACTAACCTTTTAAACACATATCGAGAAGGTACGTCTCTATCAGGGTATCTGTCGCGGTACTACCACAAAGCTAATATGTCTTTGTGGTTCATAAAGTAACCTTCCATTAAATACATCTTATTTTGATACGCCATGGTAAGTAAATGGCAAATAAACGAAAATGAAACTCATCATCATCATCATCATCATCATCAGCCTATTAATGTCCCCACTGCTGGGGCACAGGCCTTCCCTATGGATGGAATAGGGAGATTGGGCCATGACCCAACACGTGGGCCCAGTGCGGATTGGTGGGTGCTAACGACTGCAGATGCAACCGGGACCAACGGCTTAACGTACCTTCCGAAGCACGAAAAAAATGGAACTCACAAAAACAAAATAACAGACACTTGAAAATTTGTGTTCCATTTGCGAATTACTATTTTTAATAAATTTCAGCCAATCGCATTGTAACTGTGAGATCAAAAAGAAATGCAATCGTACTACAGTCTGTATATCACTTTATTATTTATATAACGTAATAAGACATTCCTTTCATTTAAAATGCTATGTTATTTAGCAAAAAATAATCCTTATGATTAACCCTTTCGATAGTTATCATAAAATATGTTGTGTTTATTTTTTCGAAATTTCACGAGTTTGATTCCCAGTTGTAGCAGGCGATTTTAAAAAATCTGTGAATTCAGTTCTAGTTATTATTAAAAATAAAATGATGTCTTCTTTTAGTAAAATATCCTATCTTCATTATTTAACACACTTTCCCTCCGTGTGAGGTAGCCGTGGGACGCCCTGTATATATTCTGGTATAGGAAGCGTCAAGTGGCCAACAACATTTTTAACAATTATATTACTAATACCCAATAAATTACAAATTACAAGAAACACTATGTCCATGCATTACAATCATTAAGCTAGGTAATCATCAACTTTATAATAGCCCTTACTCATAAGAGTATTCTTGATCTGACATTTGAATTTGGCAGAAGGAAGCTCAATTAGAACTTGGGGAACTTTATTAAACAGTGCAATACTACGACCCGGAAATGAACCTTTTGATTTTGGATTCTGAAACATGGAACGGCAAGCGTGTTCCTAAATCTTGTGTTAAAGTTATGAACTTGACTTTTTTTGCAAATGCGATATAATTTTTTCTTGCATATATTTTTATTTTATTTATTTTTTATTTTATTTAAACTTTATTGCCAAACATAAGCAAACGGCGGACTTAATGCCATAGGCATTCTCTACCAGTCAACCAGTATGATTGTTGGATATATTATATTTCATAAATTTATTGCGATGACAGTGTTAAAATAAACGCTATGAAAGTAACCAAAGTAAAACCAATTTTGCCTCCTGATCAGGAGGAGAAGAGTGACTTTCTCAAAATAATAAGAATAATAAGAGAAAATATTAAGAGAGGCAGAGCATCGCTATGCTCCAATTACTTACTTGAATTGGAGCAGCCTTTTGGGGAAGTAAACTCCACTTTATAGATGACCACAGTAAAATAACGGTACCTTTGGTAGTGTAGTGGTTCTGTCGGTGAGAAAGGTTGCAAGACTCCACGGGGTAGTAGATGGGGTAAGGCTAACAATGATGATAGTTATATTTTTAGGTTCGGTAGGCTATGGCAGCTGATTACTATGGTATAGACGCGGTATAAGCTAGTTTGTCACCCTTTTAACATGAAACTTATTTGCTACCTCTATCAACGCAAGCTTTTCTTACAGGTACATACTGTCGCTGGCGCTCGCTGATCTCCTGGTGATCATCACGTGCGTGCCGTTCACATCCATTGTGTACACCGTCGAGTCCTGGCCGTGGGGTGAATTGGTCTGCAGGATGTCGGAGGCGGCGAAGGACGTCAGCATTGGGGTGTCAGTGTTCACTCTGACAGCTCTGTCTGCTGACAGATACTTCGCGATTGTGGACCCGCTTCGGAAGCTACATGCTACTGGTGAGTCTTCTTTTAAAATTGTTGTACTTTTGTAGCGGCGAACATTGTTGCAAATTGACGAATCAGCCAGCACAACCCGTGCGATACAGTGGCTTGGCCTAGCAGTCGTCTACGGAACACACGGAATACATTAAGAAACTACGTTTTATCGCAAATTGATGTACCATGAACAATATACTTAATGATTTGCATAATATTTTCTCTCTTCGGAATTTTGATCAGGGATACCCTAAACCACAATATGATAAACTTCTTTTTGGGTAGTGGTGGTGGAAATTTTACTATGTCAAGCTTCTCTGTGCGCTTCAGAAGGCACGTTAAGTCTTATGACGCCTTTGTCGTAAGCACCCACATTGGTGGGTGATTGCACCATAGCCCTTTCTCCCTGCTTCATCCAATAGGGAAAGCCCTTACTCCAGCACAGAGGACAAAAAATTAATCCGCGCAAGAGATGATAGATCCTTCTTTCCTTAGGTAAAACAGTCAGACAGCGACTATGATTTTATCTATTGCTAGGTTTACTGAAACGAAAAGAAACCATTTATCTTTGAAGAGCTGTGTACATTATATCGTGTAGGAAATAGATGAGCTGTATCGTCGTTAGAGTATATGAATATATATATATATTTTATTATTTTGAAACTACAGTGTTTTTTTGGCTATTTTCAAATAAATTTAGGCGTATGATTTTTCTTTTCGACACTGGGTTCTAGCCCTTTTCTGCTGTGGTGTGAACAAAACATTGCACAACTAGGCCAAGCTCATTTTTGGTAATTATTGTTCGGGGCTAGCGGCTGCCCGCGAATTTTTCCGCGTTACTTTAAATTAAGACAGCACAAACCTAATTGCATAGTTTTTGAAACTTATATTACCTATTCTAAAGTCGAAAGATTTCTTTCAAAAATTTAATTTTGCAGCTGTCTGATTCGTAACGATTAAAAATATCTATAAAAGAGTTGTGGATTTTGCATCTCTATAAAATATTAAATTGCACAAAATAATGAACACCGAAATAAAATTTTTAGAAAACCCGAATGAATAAAAAAAAACATTTCATAATATACCTAACCAATGACAAAATGACACTGGTGTTTACCTACCTCGTAACCTAAAATAAATTTTGAATAATAAATATTATAATTTTCGTTATTACTGTCTGAATCATAAAATCAGAGTTTTTTTTACTATCGAAATCTTTTTTACTGCCTGCACAAATCTTCCTTCTTAACGCAAACTTGAATAAAATTTTTAATAAAAAATATTATGTGTCATAAATATTAGAGTCATAGCATATTCTTTATATTGCATGTATTTAACATAATAATAACATTGTAAATTCTATAAATAAATATTTTTTTTTTCACTACAATCTGTATCATAAAATTCTAAGTTTTATAAATAATTATAAATATTTTCACTACAATCTGAATGAGAAGGGGTTTCTGTCTCAAATCAAATATTTTGTTGCTGACATTAGCCTCCCTCGATAATGCAAACTTTTATAGTTTAACATCTATGATTTGAAAACATGAGACACCTTGGAATCATATTCTCAAACTAAATTATTAAAAACTTGCGCACGCTATTGGGTCCGTGTTGAAGTTTTTAGAGAATCGCGCAGGATCCTAATTTATTAACGGGATAAAAATTTTGCAGATGCAAAAAGGTCAATAAAATAAATTTCCGGTAAATTAACACTGTATTCGCTTACTATAGTAAATAAATTGCTACCTACAAATCGTATCAAACTTGAAAAACTTTTGAAATTTAAATAAACCTACGGCCACGAGAGTTCCTATGCTAGTTCGGTCATTTACAATGCATATTACTGCAAGTGATTGAAAAAAAAACGTATTAAATACGTACATTTAATACTGAAATAGGTCAACCAAGTTCCGAGTCGTTCCTGTGTGAAAGGATTGAGAGGTTACGATAAAAGAACGTAGTTTCCTTCAAAGAATGCCGGGATCGTAATAAAAAGATTTTGAAATCCGAAGACCGTACCTACTATACAATAGTTTGAACGCAGCTGAGGCTTTAAAAGATAGAGATTATTTTATTATCTATAAAGCATCATCACGTTCTTGCTCCTGCTTTCGTATCACTTTACCGGTTGCACTCAATCTTTATTTTAATTCGAGGCGCTAGTGTTGAGTAGGACATACAAGAGACGATAGATTTTTCCAGGACAAGAACGCCAATGTAAGAGCGACTCAACTTCACATTTATTTTTTATGTCGTGAAAGTCGCGTCTCGTTACTAACTCACTCTCTGTAAGTAACCTACAGGCCGAGAGAGAGCGAGGCATTAATTACCTAATTAATACCTTAGCAATTTTTTTTTGTTGTAATTTAAATTTTTTTCTGTAATACTTACCTATCATACTGTATATAATAAATCATATTTAATACCTAAAGTGAAATAAAAGTATGTTGTGATTGTATATTTTTTTTTTGCTTTTTAGTAATTTCCTCGCTGAGGTGGGATGAAAAGTTACGTGGTGAAAAATGTGGGATGAAAAGTTACGTGGTGAAAAAAACGGTGTTTAATTCCCTCGCTACCGCTCAGGATTTTAATCCTTCGCTTGCTCGGCCATCAATATTGAGCACGCGGTTAAAAAGCAACTTTGCTCTCTTGTATAACAAATAACCTTTTTTTCTCGATAGGTGTCTCTATCACAACTCAATAATTGTGAAATTTTAGTGGTCATTAATTGATCCACATAAAACAACTTTAAGGATCTATGTTACTTAAATGGATATTACTTTCACATTATGTATGTTAAATGTAAATGTGCTCCTTTTAATAGGATGATATTAAATTTTTCATCCATTTAAAATTCACAGTGTAAATCGGTAATTTATTGACAATATAATACCAATATAATAATAAATATATTGTCAATAAATTATCGATATAGACCGTAAATTTCCACGAGAAATTAAAAAATCTCAAAAACCACAAATTAATTTTAACTGAAATTATAGTACTCATTCTTAAATGACTTCAAAATGGGCTAACAGAAGTTAGGTATTCCGAAATACTTTTGTTAGTGAAAAGTATAATTTCAGGTCGAGCAAGCTATATCTCACAGTAGACAAAACTATAATACCTCTCTTTTAGAGAGCAATTTCTTTTGAAATGTTCTCAGATGTTAACTGACTGCTTATAATTGTTGGTGTTGACCCAGACTAAACAGATAGATTAGGTTTAAACCCCAGTGACGTTACCTAATATTTACTCGCACGAAATTAAAAGTAGTGGTGAATTTTGACCAATATCAGACCTTTTTATTTCTACCAAACAGTTGTATTCCTATATCTATATTTCTCCTAATAAAGTTATTTTTTTTTTTATAAAAGATTTGAGTGAGTTTGATCACAATCACACCTGTGCCCCATTTCACCAAACCGACATATGCCGCTGACATATCGCTGGCTTCGTATCTATTCTTTCTGGCGCTGGTATATCTAATTTTTCTTTGAACGCAAAATCAGTGGTATCAAAGGAAAAAAATATTGGTTTTTTTAATTCTCCTGTTTTGGAAGTCAGCTTTTCAAGCTTTCGCTGAGAGTATATTATACTCGTATTTAGTTCAGATACATAGTTTGATATTAATTGTTTTTTTTAATTTCCGATACAGAAAATAGAGACTTCTGCTCAAATATATTGAGGTAAGGACAGGCAATTACGGAGCCCTACACTACGGCCAGTTTTTAATGGACTTTTTTTTATAAATTCTCCAGTTTAAGAACTCATCTTTTCAAGCTTTCGCGGAGAGCCATTTTGTAACTAACAACGAAAACACTACAATTGTAACGCAAATTTTACACAGCACCGATTTCATGTCAAAAATTACTGACAATTATGTCGACCTAAAAAAAAGTACCCTTGTTCCAAACACGCATTGAATGAGGGCTACCGTGTATGAAACCGCCGCTAGAGGCGCTAGTGTAGCGTGAGGTCTCCGAAATGTCAAATGTTATTGCTTGTTGGTTGACTACGCGGGTTTATTTCTAATTAAAATAATGTTGTGAATAATTGGTAACAATTCGGCTTAGTTATGGCAAATATGAGTTATGTGGCAATGAATGTCAGTTATTAAAAATTTGAGCTTAGAAAAATGATTATGTTCCCATACTGCGCGTCACTGTGGCATGGCCTATTATGTTTAGGATATGGTTCTTTTGTGTTAAAATACGATCTAAATGTAACCTTTGATTTCATGTGCGTATTAATAAACTTTAAAAGTTACAATTTAGGACCTCACTCAACAGTGGCGCCATCTGGTGAGGCAGAAAACGGTAGCCCTCTTTGTAACAAAATGCCTGTCATTTTATGACATAATGTCGAGTTGGTGAAATAAGCTGGAGCAGGCAAACTCTAATAATGCTTATTTGCTCTTGCCTAGAAAGTCCCTTTATTATATGCATCGAGGATAACATGCGCAAGAAGAGAGTTCCATTGCCTAGCGGTTCGCATGATAAAGGAAAATGCGAATAGTGAAGTGCGAGCGGCGGTGTGTCGTAAGAATGAAGACCCTGTCCACGTCTCGTCGTCGGATACTACCTGCGATATTAATTCGAATAGTTCTTGTGCATACTTCTATGGAACTTCTATGTGAGGTTTTTCTGTGAAAGAGCAGTAACTTATGTAATGCTAATAAAAATATTTAATATATTTCTAATGCTAATAAGTAATAATAATTAGTTAAATATTTCAAAATATTATCGTTCTACACTCTTTTCCATATTAGCTACAAGTTCAAAAATATTGTTTTAAACTTTCATGGTCACTAACATTATATCTATTAACGGGATTCTTACCATGTACCTTGTTTTTTATGTTTATAATTATAATTGTCAAACGTCTGGAATCCAGTGGTTCGTATGTGTAAAAACCTCAAAATCTAAAAAGTGTTGTTCCGCGATCTGATACTGTGAGAATTGTGTGTCGGGAACAAGTGCGAGTGAATAGTGAGAATGTGACCAGTGGTAGGG